ACGTGGTGCCGTCTTAAATGATAACAGATGTGTAATTGGATTAGAAAAAATTGTTTAATAAACCGTTAAGAATTGAAGAACAGACATACAAACAAGTATCTTTTAAATTAAATGATGAAATATCCTACGAATCATGCCACATTTGAGTGTTCAGAACATCTTTTAAAATAACTTCCAAATATATTGAACGCGAAAGTAATTTGTATTTTTCCTTTTCCTTTTAGTAGAATAGTCATTCTCGAGGTCATTCTAGGTATATAACATATTTCCGAGCATATTTCTCTTTATTTTATAGTTATTTATTACTCTTTTTGAGCTCTCAATCAGGAATGACTCCACTGTTTGTTTTGGCGTCAGTGACAAATATCGATGTCGATGCTTTCTTCTCCACGTATATTTTTAACTCGTTTAAAAATACGTTCCACCAGTCAAATTAATTAACTGTTCAATGCTCAGGCTCCTACTGATGAATTAAGGGTACATAAACATTACTGGAATTTGCATCTAGGAAAAGTTATTTTTTAGTTGATAAAGAAAACATTCACAATATTATGAATATAAATGTAGTCTATAGAATGTATAAACAGAGCTACAAAATAAATAATTGGCCACCTAATATATTATTTAAAACTTTATTTCATGGACAGGCAGGTAACGGTTGTGGTTTTCCTCGAATCTATAGGTATTATGACTATGATGATATTCTGAAAATAAACCCTATGAAGCCGTCTCGAGACCGCGAAGCATTAAAAGAGGATCTCCGTGGTTTATTATAAGAAAAGGTATTTCCTTGCAACGCAGGTGTCGAATTAGTAAGTATATAATTTATATTACGTATAATAATTGAAATTCGTACTGTTCTGTAGATAGTCCGAAGATATCATTTTGCTAAATGAGCCTTTTTGGGGTTAAAAAGTTTTTTGATAACTTTTTACTTATTATTGCAAGACCATATTACGGCAGTTAGGTATAGTTCGGGCTGTCAGAACTGAACCGCGGGGCATAGGCGTACGCATTATTTATTAAAAACCCACAAATTAAATTGTCTACAATACACCAACCATAAACACCAACAGATAGGAATTAATAACGCGCAATAACAAAGCAACAGTATACTATCGTGACGTGAACGTGAAAAGCAGTAGTCTGAGGCAGCGGCTCACGCATGTCTCGGCATTGAATTGCGGCTCTCTCTATCTGACATCCTTAGCTATAGTACAATTTTTACCCCAACATATCTTTCTTTGCTATTACAAATAAGTGACTTTTTGCCATAACTATCGGGCTGGGCTAACAATTTTTGTTATAAAAAGTTCTACAACTTTTGTCTAAAACATTTTTTTCTAAAATGTTTAGTTCGTTAATCCGTTTCCTAACTTTTTTATCACATTGTTCACTACTTTCAATTTTCAAACATTCATATATATTTAATATAATACGTTGACTTTTTACGTGTAAATCTTTGTTTTTAAACTCTCAGTTTGTTTCGATACTTTCGACCGGTTCCACTATTTGGGGATTTTCCCGAGTTATTTCATTATCCTCCGCTCCAAAGAGTCTCCAGAGAGCCACGCTAAACTACTAGATAATTACATATAACATTTATTTTAATAACTATTACCCTTTACTGGTTACGATATGAACAAATAATAATATCAACTAATAAATAATAATACGTATACCAACAACATACCCCGCCAAGCAATGCTCTGCACGGCACTGGCAAAGCGACAAAGCTAAGTGAACAATGTACCATACAAAAAAATTATTTACGACCTAGTGGACCAATACAGGTTTGCTTTGATGACCAGCGCGCCGCCGTCAATTCTACATCGGGCGGACTAGTTTACCAATATCGGACTCGCCGAATTGCTATTCGAGTAAAAATTACGAGACACATCGTGGTCAAAGCATAAGAAGAAATTTCAGAAGTGCATACGGTCATGTGCTTTAAGATTTACAGGTTCTATAGTAGGATCGTTTTCGATGCAAAGTAGAGCAAAAAGTTGTCGGTCTTTTATCAAAGGAAAATCGTGTCATCATTTTTATAAGGGGTAAGATAAATCATTTCAAATTTAAAATGAAATTCAATGTAAAATCTGAAATACCGCTGCATACGCACTGTGTTCTGGTAGTAGCTGTAGTCGCCCAGGTGCATCGAGTGTACGAACTGGTCGGTTATACGTCAAATACTAACCTGGCGAGCTTTGCCGTCAATTAGAGAGCGCTTCCAAAAAACAAGTAAACAACAGTGGCGCGTACAGAGGTAAAATGTAGTACATATGTGGAATTTAGGAAACAAATTGGATTTATAATAAATTACATTTAAAATAAATAGTTTATGAGAATAAAGGAATTTTTGTAGGAACAAGGGTGCCAGACCTGAACTGATCCCCTCGTCCCTTCATAATGTATAAAGAAATTATTCAATTTGTAAAACCCTTAAAAGCGTACTTCATTGGTTCCCTTGACAGGCAATGATTTATTACTTTGCATCGAAAATGATCCTACTATAATTGACATCGCGACAACAATAAAAGTCAATATTCTATAAATTTAAATATATAAATTCTATAATTCTATTAGTCACTTGGGGTTTGAAACTTAAATATTTCTAATATTGCCAGAATATCGCAATATTTAAGGTCATGACAAAGAAGCCATTGTTTTGGCACTTATGTCCAAAGTACATAAGGTCGAAAATCGACCTAGTAAAAATACTGAGAAAATGACTTAAAATTTGCCATTACCATTTCAAATGCAGGTTTCTAATTCATCAACTTTATCTAGTGTGATTCTGCGATTAAATCTATACTTTCTCTAAGCAAGTACACTGTTCCACTGACGGGAAAAAATTCAAGCTATTGCTATTTTAATGCATAAATACATTTCAATGAGAAAGAAACCAACTCGGCATTGTTCGCTCCTCAAACACAAGGTAGAAAAATCCCCTTTTCCAACATTGAACATTTGTCGAGATATTTACGACGGTTGCTCAACCATTTGATGATGGCGTTCCAGAGATTCAGCTTGAGATTAAAATATTTACTGTACCGAATGTATATGTACGCCTCTACTGCACCCCCGGATGTTCGTATAAACACCCCCTGCATTACAAGAGAGGGGTTGCATTCACGGAGTCTTTAGTACGCTCTGCAGTAATCGAGTTGGATTTAATAAAACGAGTCTCGATATTACATTTTCGAGCTGGACCCTGTCTGCTATTGTTCAATCGTTTGTTACCCGTATCGCTAGAAATTTTTTAAATAATGAGCTTTGATGTGGCTTAATATATTTTATAAACTTGAGGGGGTCACAACTACCCAACTTCTGCTCCTATGTTGTCATCTCAGACATCAGAAAAGTGAGAAAATATGGCGTAAAATCAACGGAAGAAATCATTACGAATTATTATTATTTATTGCGACACTGATAGTACTTTTTATTAAAATTTATTGTAATTCCAACCGACATGGTCGAATGCAGGGAATTAAAACATGACTAATGCGAACATCGCTCTTATTACTAGTCTTGTTAAAGGCCCGTTGCGCTGCACCTTCCAATTAGTAGGTTACAGACCTATACAGATTAATTTCGTCGGCCCTTCTCCGTAAGTATGGTTTGGCCACTGGTAAGTGGTAAGTCTGTACTAACAAAACTCTCGAGGACTGCAAATAGTAAAGCTGAGAACCCTTGACTGCAAACAGTATTTGTGGTTCAATACAAATTGCTCTGTTTACCAAACACTTGGTGACTAGTGACTATTAATTTTGTAGTTTATCGGTTATGTCTTGTTGATCAAATCACTAGGGGCCGACATAAAATGTTGGAAGAATTCCAAAAAATGTACTTTTTTTATAAAGATATAAACAGTACATATTTCAGTTCTTAATCAGTTTTTTACGGTATTCTAATTTTAATTGGGTACCTACTTTCAGCTACTTACATATTTCAATTTAAAATAAAGTCAAATAATTTTTTACTCGATATTTTATTGATTTTGATATTAAAAGCTTATGCCAATTTGAATAGCTTAGATCAGCTCATTCATTTATTATGGTTAAGTAGGTACATACCTACCTATGAAATGTATTTGTAACCGACTTCAGAAAAAAATAAAAAAATTTAAATTTAATAGGTACCTACTTAAATAGGCATCCAAATTACCATTCAATGTCTTTCTTGGGAATATCTATTTACACCTTTAAAATTTCTAGGTACTTCAGTTACTGGAAAATGGTATTGTGATCAATACATTTACCTGCATTACAATAAATCTATGTCAAACGTGAAATAGTTACGTTTTCCCTTTTCAAACCACTGACTTTGTTCCTTTCTTCTACGAGTTCTACGAGTATATAAATTTAAAAACAGAATATCATGACGATACTTAATCAATATCAATACTTATAAAAACAAATTATTAAGTACATAAATGTAAGGTATATTGTATAATTAGGTTTTTATTACGTGTCCAAATGGATTGTAGACGTCGAAAAATTTGAACTTCCACAATCTCGAACATTGTCCCTTCCTCTTCTCTAATGCAATTCATGGGAACAGGTAAAACATGGAGAGATATCACCGTTTACGAATGTAAACAAAGTATCAGGTTAGAAAAGCGACACAAGAAGTCCTTTCACCTATCCGTCCAAAATATTTAAAAATTCAAAGACCCTAAAGCTATATTGAGGAACCTCTTACGATCCCAACAAATGTCAATCAAGGCTGAGGCGATTTAATATTTTTTTACTAATTAACAACACCGTGTCGCAGTCGCGGTGAGTCATGAGCATACATACTCATCATTCAATTATTTCCAATTTGAAAGAGGTAACGCCCTGTTAAACAATTTCTACCTAATTTCCAAATAATTTGGGCCTGAATAATAATCCCAGTTTAAACACTTGAATAGCGAAAGGTTCCGTTCGGTGGTATTTACGGGTTACCATTTCAATGGTAGTGTACACGCCCAGCGAACGGTGAGTCCATCAACATACCTGTGAATTTGTTGTTGTTGAATGTTGAATCCCGCGCTGCAACCGTTGTGTTTATTGATAAGCCAGGTACACAATGCACATCACTTCTTATCTAATCTAGCTACCGCCTTATCAGCGCATCTATCACTAAAAACATTGCGATTCGGAGATCTGCGGAAAGTAAACACGTTCTATCACCAGATAAGATGTCGCGTATATATACGTAAACAGAACACCTCCACGGTACACGACAAAACACACGACGGATTTAAACTGAAATAGGCCGGTCAACGGCGACGGTGGCACCGACGCATGCGCCATTCCGGGCTCACCTTGCAGGTGAAACTGAAAAACGGCACTTCTAGGAGGCTGCGTCGGCGTAGTTCGATTTTAACTTTCAATGGTCTGTCGGACTACTACGAATTTATTAAAATAAAAATTAAAAAAATTATATTGGCTACGTATTCACATTTTTTTGTTTGAAACAGGGCTTTTTATATTTTGTGCTTTTGTTAATAACTGCTACTATTGGAATTAATCCTTTATTTTTTCCAAACATCAATTTTAAATTTTTGTCTGGTGATTCCATGCGTTCGAATTCCGACGATACGAAGATCCTATTGGTTTAATATACATTCAAATATTTTACTGCTCATTTTCATCCGAAAATATATCAAATTCATACGACGTCAGAAAAAGTAGAACTGTAAAAATAATAATTTTAACTTTTATTCGAAATCGTAGGTTTTTTAACCTCAGTTTTTAAGTTTTTAACATCTGTGATTGTTGTTGTTTGGCAGATTTGCAGTGAAATAAATGAATCTCCAAACACGGCGAAAAGCAAATACAGTGCTTCTTCTGTGTATTCTACTGCGCTTAAGAAAGAGTAAGAATAAGCAAGGGTGGTTTTGGGTTCGAGTTATTTTTATAAACCGGAAAAGGCAAGGGGCATATAAAAATTTATTGCAAGAAATGCACTTGAGTGATCATCAAAAATATTTCAATTATCTAAGGATGACAGGAGATAATTTCCACAAATTACTTAATATTGCCTGTCCAAGACTGATGAAGATATATCGTGTACGCAAACCAATATTTCCTGGTGGAAGACTTGCATTAACATTAAGGTATATTTTCTATGATATTACCTATGGTTGTCATTTAAAAATCTCTCGTCTTTTTCATCTTGTAATAAATTCCATGGTTCTATACTTGATTTGTACGAGATTAATTTCGGAATGTGATTTATATTATCATTCGTATGAATTAAAATATTTTCGTATATTGTACATCGGAATTCAGATGCATGGGATGCCGACTTTAGACCAAAGGTGCCTGAAACATGCAACTCAAGAAATATTTTGTACTTAAAGAAAGCAGATACAATGTGTTGATTGAAAAGTACAATATTTCAGTCAACGTACAATACAAACAAATCCTTCAGATTTGCAAAATTATGATATTCTCATTCTCTTTATTTAGGGTTATCTTTGTGAAAATGGCGTTTAACCCAAGAAAAACTAGAAATGATATTAAAAAAAAAGTATATTCTGGCGTTCCTGATGCATATTTAAAACCTCTTCGCCTTTTATTTACATTTTAAGATGAAAAATTTGAATTTAAATATTTAAAGTACGCTCAAGGGAAAACTTCGTTACAAATACAAAAAAAAAAGATTGTAGGTAATTCAAGTTTATTTTCTAGTTTAAGATACGAATTTTAAGAATTGTGCTATGTTTGATACACTTAGGACAAAACTAATATTTATGAAAAAGTCATTGTGTGCTGTAATTTTATGAATAACATAAAACTCCGTAAATTTGTAGAACATTTGTTACATAAATTAATGCTTATATTTTACATATGTGTAGGTATGCAACATATAAATATCCTATAAAATCCAACTTTTACATCACATTTTCAAATTTCCACATTATTTCTTCTTTCATAATCACTTCTTCTTTTTAAGTTAGCGATATACAATGATAAAAAAAATCCATTGTTCCATCACCAAGTAAAAGGGGCTCTTTCTCTCAAAATCCTGACACCATACTTCTCCCATTCTCCTGCTTGAATCCACAGCTCATGCGCCGTTTCAAGACAAGACATTATACAAGCCCCTTTCCATGCGACCATCGCCGAATCCATGTCTCTAGGATTTGTTATAATGTCCAGCTGTTCGGCACGATACAGGTATGGAATCTGAAGAGAGATCCTATTTTGTAGCCACGTGGCTATGCCGGAAAATTTCATACCTCCTCCAACCACTAAAACAGAAATTTTATTTTCGTAGCCTTTTTACAGAAAATTAAATTTTCAATGATTTTTCACTATAAAGGGAATAGTTGTTGCTGCTTTTAAAGCTAGTAAGATAGTACAGTTAGCGCACAATGTAATTAAATTCAAAATGCAAAAATGTAAAAATGCCTGCAGTCTAATTTATAATTTTCCACCAGCGCACTAAAATTTAAAGAAATATTATTTCTGTTTTACATAGTGGTATAACATTTATTTTTTATAAAAGGCTTCAAGAATGAAGTATGCATACCACTGGTGCTTCAGGGGTTTGTGAGATACTCCTGAAAGTAGTTTAAACTTCAACACCCTGTGGAAGTGAAGCATTTTTAACAAAATTTTATATGAACTACTCCCGCTGATTTTTATACTATAATCTTCAGTGATGTTTGGCCCAGTGGTAACTGATCACTCTATCCGTAAATAATATTTTGTGACCTTACCTAAAATACAACCATACATTTTTCTCTTGAGATCCTCGTTTGGACACCTGTCAATACTCTGCAAAACAGCCTGATCCAAACCTAGTATCTGTCCCGGATTGGTGACGAATTCTCTTACAGACGCTGGAGCAACTGGATCCATTGCGTCAACCACTATATCATCGTCGTTTGCATTGCTTTGCTGGCTTTCTAAATACCCCTCGCTGAGAAGATCTGATGCTGACGGTTCCATATTCTCTTTCATACCTTTCTTCCTTATATCTCTCAGATACAACTCATCATGTGGGTCTTCCGGGTCTCCTGTCGATATTTTTTGCGTATGTAAAGATTTAGGACCCGTAATGCCAAACAATTCAGGACTAAACAGACTCAAGGGTGCTACAATACATTCGTCACCAACTTGTATTGTAAAATGATATACTGGCTTCCCGGGTTGTTTCAACATAAACGACTTTTCCTGGGATCCACATACATCTAGATTAACGTGGCAAAAGTCTTCTTTTAGTTTTCTTAGCAACATTGTGTCCAGTTTATTTTTATCACTACATTCTTTATAAGGAAAAGCGCATTTTTGTAAAAGCCAATAAAAAATTTGTGTAATATCGCCTCCTCCATAATCTAATCTACAATAAATAATTATATTTTAAAAAAATTTTATGTGGTTCATAATATAATAATGTACCTTACTCTAGTGTTTGGATGACAGATACCATCCTCAACACACGAAACTGATGTTTTTTGGTCACCCACATCAACAACACAAGCATAACTCAAACCAGATCCAAAAGTCGCAGCTACGTGATCTTGAACTAAAAAGCAACTTCCAAACCCCATTTTACACAGAAGTAAGTACATAAGCTCTCTCATATAAGTTCTATTGTAAACATCAGGTACAACTAATACTGCTTTATAATATTTTAAATCCTTTGGACTGATTTGAAAATTAATTTCAAGTACATATGTCCAAATTGTCTCAAGATCTGCCAAAACTGCTGTCATGGAACCGCCCGGACCACTATGTATGTTAAAATCTCCTCTTTTGTAAGGAAAATGAGTATTAAAGTCCTCCTTTGGATCTAAACGAAGTATATCGTTACCGATAACAAGATCTCCTTCAGGTTTTACCCACTCTCCACCATTATTACCCAAGAGTTCTGGTTGAGATCTTCGATTAAATGCTGCTATTTGCTGAGGGGGTGTAGCATATCTCCTACGTCCGTCTGATTGCAAGCAAGACTGGAGAGTGTGAGAAACGGCTAGTCTTGCTTCCTCAAAGTCATGAGGCTGATTTAAGTCTATTCGTTCTGGTAAAAAATGATCCATGTAACTTTGACCAGCCGGTTTGCGACGTCTTGCTATTGCGTGAAGTATAGTTAAAGGGTTCAAGTCTGAAGCCCGACCTATTCGTAAGTTAAGAGAACCAGGATGTATTACTATTATGCTTTTCGAATGAACTTGCTCAGGCGGAGTATCCGCTGGAGTCGGCAAGGTCATGTTAGAAGTCGTAATTAATTCCACAGTACACAAAAATAAGTAAAACACGGTCAGTATCTTTCTATTTGTGAGATAAATATAACATAACCTAACAATTCAATTTCAAAAAAAATCAAAACAAAACTATTATTTGTCTTCTTCTTATTCTCCGATCTCAGAAGAAGAAGAATGCTATCAAAATTTTTCTGATTTCTTTCCGACTATTATGCTCGAAGATCAGATCTGTTTTCCAAGAAAATGATCACTACGAGGTGCATTGGTGCACTAGTCCTACCCATAAATTTTATAGAGTTTGCCAAACTAGTCGACTGTACTTGTAAGATAAGTTTAGAATTTAGATCACTTTTGGATAAAGTTAATATCTTTGTCTTTGTGCATTAATTAATGTCTCAAACCTCACACATAATTCTATTGATTTGAAGAATCCGCGCCATTATTCCATGGCTAGAAATTGGCCACAATGATTTAGGATCGAGGGGGATTATCTCTCTTTATCCTGGCTCATCTCGTGTAGGCCTGGACAGCCTTCGTAGGTGGGCCCCATCTGTCGGCTACCCCGATGGCAAATGCGGCCGGTGTAGGCGCTTCGTGGGACCTCCTTTTGTCCTGGCTGGGCCTCGCCGACTAGGGCCCTTTCTTCTGGTGGTCTTCTTGCTTCACCGTCTCGTCTGTGTAAACCCCCGGGGTGGTGTCATGTTTATGTGTGGTATGGTTGGGTAGGGTAGTGCGACTATGCAGTCTGGGATGCGCTTTGCTAAGGTGGGCCTTTGGTTAGCGCGGGATAGGAGGGGTAAGAAAGATATGGGGGTGTGTATGTGTGTGTGTGTGTGTGTCGTTGTCTTCGTTTCTTGATCCTGGCGGTCTCTGAAACAGAAAAGGTTAGCTGGCAGGGGGGAATGTCGTTGGGGTGGTCACCCAGGGTCAAAAAGTTGGTGTCTAGGTCTTTTGTGTTTGTCGGTCACGTCGGGTACGTAGTCAACGGCTTGCCTGAGGAGGGGATTGTCATGTCTAGCGGCTACGTCAAACCGTTTCTCCACGTTTTGTCATATTGTCTGTGTAGAGTTTCTGTATTGTAAGGCTCGTAATATGTCAATGTTTCTTACGTACCAGGGCGCGTCGGTGGCTGTGCGGAGGGCTACGTTTTCTACAGCCTGTAGATTTGAAGAATGGATGTTTACTAATAATGATATTTAAATGTGTGGTTGCACATTTCACAATAACTATTTAATTTAAATATGGACATAATATATAATTTGTGATTATATGAAAACTCAAGCCAACCAAGTTAGATGTAGTTTGGAACCTATTTTGGAACGCCAAAAAACCTTAGACAATTGTAATTACCCAAAGTCTATTTGATCCTTGGAGTATATACTTATGCTCTAGGATTTGATCTGTGGTATTATGGAGTATTCTGTGGTAGTAAATCGACAGTGGAGCTGGAACACGCCCTTCAAAATTTTTACATGACGATGACGCACTTCGTGTGTCCTATGGCGTTCTAAAATGGAGGATTGGATACAATAAAATGGTTTTGGTTAGTCTTGTAAGTTACAAAGACTATTTTTACCAGTTACTAATAAAATATATTTATGTATATTTATTATTTCTTCAAAAAAAGGCATAGCATCGTATTAAAAAATAAATTAAAAGTTTTGCACAATCGTTTTTAGTTTCGTACATGGAAAATTGGCGTTGACGTCGCAAGATGGCTGGTGAGTAACTCCCTTGCAAATTTTTTAATTTCTTCTGTTTTTCAATACTTTTCTCATTTTAGATCTGTTTGCTAAGGTTAGTTGTACTTATTGTCAAGAAGAAATAAATGGTGTTCGAGTACAATGCTGTGTTTGCCCCGATTTCGATATTTGTCTGCAGGTACGTCGATTGACCTTTAAAACCGCGGTAAATTTGAAAATAGTCTAGAAAAGGTTTCTACTTACCAGTACACATTTATTAATATTGTATTTCAGTGTTTTTCAGTAGGCGCAGAAATAGGAACTCACAGAAATGATCATTCATATAAATTTGTGGTAAGTATTTTATAAAAATTCAATATTAGTTTATGAACTTTGCATTTTTCTTAGGACCATTGTGCCGTCAGTATATTCGGTGGAAGGGGAGCTTGGACTGGAAAAGAACAGCTTCAATTGCTTGATGCTGTAGAATTATATGGATTTGGTAATTGGGAACTGGTCAGTCAACATGTCGAAACAAGAACCCCTGAAGGTATTATTTTTAAAATGATTTTTTGAGATAAAATTTATCTCAAATTAATTTTTTTGTTCTTTATTGATAGAGGTAAAAGAGGAATATATTGCACGGTACCTTGATGGAAACATAGGGAAAGCAACGTGGGCCCAACTGACTAATCATAGACCCGTTTTGGTAGATCACGTACCAAACGATGACGGGCCTCTTTCACCTTCTGTTACTTCAAGACTGCCTCCACTCGAGGCATCACTTGAAGAAGCCAGGCTTTTGGGATACAAACCACATAGGGATGATTATGAAAGGGTTCGTTAACATGCACTAAATAAAAAACATATTTTGTTATATTTTATTTTTAGGAATATAATATGGAAGCAGAACAGCTTGTTTCTACTTTACAACTGGATCAGGAAGAAGACACTGAAATGGAAGTTGCTTTAAAGCTGGCGATGGTGGATATGTACACTAGAAGATTGAGAGAGAGGGCGAGACGGAAAAGGATTGTCAGAGATTATCAGTTGGTTGCCAAATACTTTGGAAATCTAAGGAAGGACCCCAGTAAGAGACCTTTTTCCAAGGAGCAACGGTAGGATACTCTGTTCCCTACCGAATCTAAAAATAAATTGAAAAGCCGTTTTTCATAATCGGGGATGTTTTTTAAATTGGATTTTTTACATTTAAAACGATATAGAATTCAAAAAAGTTAGGACGTTTTTGAGGAAACTCAAAAAGAATGAAATTAACAAATATTTTAAGTTTGGGCTAACGTAAAAAAGATTTTTGAAGTTATCACCTTTTTTTTCAATCACTATTGTACGACAGAATTATAAAATAGTCCACGAAAAAGCCATTGTGTGTGAACATTTTCTTTGGACACGCAAAAGAAAAACTCATACTACATGAACGGTATACCACACTATAATAAATGCTTTTGTAAATATTGAAACATATGGAGCACTTACGAGCAGTGGCGCTTGTGAATGTGGAAATTAAGAGGTCAATTTTAACAGTTAACATCCCTCAAATGATTCGATCATTTTGTCCTTTTGAGATACAAAGTGGTCAATAACTTATGTTTTAGTGGTTTATCTGCTTTATCAGAATTTTTTCTAAGCATAACAAAAACACTACACCTTTCTTGTCTTATTGTATTTTTTAAAAATGTTTTTATCTTTTATCTGAAGCTCTGTTTAATCTCAAAAATTTCAAGTTTCTGTTGAAATTTGGAGTCTTCAGTTTGTCATTTTTGTTGAAATTTATTTACTGAAAAAAAGACAACATGCATCTGACGGCAAGTTACTTGTAACTAGGGTTGCCAACTCGGAAGAGAGCTAAAGGAGGACACTAGGAATTTTTTAGCGCTTAAAAAAATATATGATCGTGTAATAATAATTGATCTATACCTACAAATTTCTCAGTAATCAGGAAAAACGGCAAATATCTTTTTACAAAACATATATTAATAAAGTAACAAAAATAAACTTACGTTTTTCTAAAAAAAAAAACAAAACAAACTCAATAAAAAACATAGCATTTTAAATATAAAAACAGGCTTTTATTTAACCTTTTTTTAACTTATAGCTGCATCCAAAATTTTTTCATCTGATTTAATATCAAAAAACTCCAAGTGGCTTGCTTTCGGAATTAGCAGAGACAATTAATTTTTATTTTATTAAATTCAACAAAGCTACATATTCCGATCCTCATTTCTTACTTTTTTATTTCCGTGCTTTGTTGCATTCCACGTTAATTTAGATAGAATGCGAATTTTGGTTTTAAGTGCATGCTGTTGGAAGCCAGAGGCATACAGGAATTGTTTCCACAGTGTTTTCTACGAATTACTGTAATTCTTGCACTGTGTTGTGTTATTTATGTAAGTCCACAAGTAAAAATCCCATGGATTGCAATCTGTCAATTTTGCAATCGGTCCAATGCAGCCTATCTATACAGGGTGATTTAGGTTTAATCTGGATAACTTCAGGAATCAATAGAACAGGTTAAAATAATGTTCATTCATGATATAAACTTATTTCCTAAATCGCACCGTTTCGGGGATAGAGGACGTTGAAGTAGAATTTTTTTTTCCGTTTTTCCCTCATTCCCGATTGCCCGGCGGGCCAGTCCGGGCCTGATGACACCAAAAAGGAAACACTATTACAACTCTATGATAGCGTAACTAATTCTTAAGTGTTACATTGAACTTCTTGCTGTTGGCATAAGAATTGAAAATTATCATAGGATTTTTCTCAGAAATGTATTGGAATTATTTATTTCAGATGGTTTTCCCATTATTTTTGAGATGTTGAAATAATGTTATTGGAAAAACGTTGGAAAATGTCCACTTAAAAAACATCCTGTACAATAAACAATAAACAGAGCTTCACTTCAAAATATCTAAATATGTTTGTATTTCAATACTTGTGTCCAAAGAAATAGCAACATTACCTTCGATTGGATTTGTAGGCAAGATTTATTCTAAATGTAAACGTTGCAGGGAGCTTCGAGACAAAACGAGAGTTTTCTCTCAGTTTCTGTCGTCAGGAGAGCACGAAAGACTTTTAGCCAGTATCGAGAGAGAGAGGGAGCTGCGCCACAGGCTCTCGGAACTCTTGAGGTACCGCAGCCTCGGTCTGACCACCCAGGACGAGATTATCCATTACGAACAGCACGCGGCCTACGAACGGCAGCAGCAGCTCAAACAGAGCCGATCTGTAAGTGTATTTGTTTTAATTTTACTTCACAGATCAGTCTCACCTGCAGTAACTCGTGCTTTTCGCCTCCTGTGCTGTCATTTTATTAACACATTGGCATTCATGTACTAACAGTATGTAAGTACGGTTTGTGTTTTTTTTTATGTCAAATATAGGGGTTTCGTATTAAAAACAAATGAATAATAAAAAAAAGAAACATTAAATGACATTACATTTTAAATTTTCGTAATAATCATCTATAAATTTTGCAATAGAGCCTTTAGTTCATCGCCATAAATTTTTAAAAACATTTTGAGAATTGTAGAACTGCAGGACCCCGAATTTCAGCAATATTTAGTGTTATGAAATGCTCGAGAATTTAAGGAGTTTTTGACGTGCCCTTGTTGTTCTCAGACTAGGCTCTGTGGGGGCAAATCCGCTGTCAGAACCCCTAGGCTTGTCCTGATGTTCATTTCGGTTTTTATTGTTAATTTTAAGGTTGTTACGGACAGAACCACTCCTCAGACAGTGGTGATCCTTTAAGACGTTGAAAGCCTTAAAACCACTATTTTACAGAAATTCTCAAAATAATTAAAAATTTTGAGAACGTTCAAAGTCTTAAGTTGTGTAATGGAAAATAAGTAGTTAATAAGATTGCCACCTCTTTTTTTTTCCGGAATTAGCGGCCATATTTGAAAAATGGCACTTCAAAACAGTTTTTCAACGATATTTCGTTTCTGTCACTTTACGGTGAAAATAGTTATGTAATAAATTAAACTAGAGAACATGTCCTATAATAAATTTTTGTAGCAAACCTTTTTTCTGTGAAATTATAAGTTTCTGTGTACGAGCGCCGCAAAGTCTACTCCAACATGCGTATTTCGTATATCAACGAAAAATATTTTACTACGCGTTAAAAACCCGACCTACTATGGCCTCAATACGGCAATCAGCATTTCATCTACATTTGATTCCGTTCTAGTTATCGGCGAAGATGTAGATCTTCTCATTCTTTTGACGGCTGTATCTACGCGTTCAAACATATATGTTCTGAAACCAGGAAAAGGAACGATTTTGCAACGAATATATTCAATAGAAAGTATCATAGATAAAACAGCCGCACATAACATCCTATTATTGAACGCCTTCAGTGTGTAATAGGCTCAAAATGAAATGTGGCAATGTACTCCGAAAGAACCGATAGTTAAACGAGCTCGTCCGGGTATTAAAAAACCCAAATGCTGACCCGGAAAGCATTGCTGAAACTGGAGAATGCTTCCTCTTTGCGTTGTACGGTTACAGTGGCGTAAAAAGTATGTTGTTAAATACCTACAGACATACATACTTCACCAAGTCAGCATTTAAAAATAAATTTAATATTGCATCGCTGTCACCGACAGAAGCAGCAGCACGACAACATTCGTTAAGAAAGTATCACCAGGTTCAGCAGTGGTATGGAGTTGGAAAAAATACAGAGCGGTGGGAATGAAAAAAAAGCAAAAATGGGCTCGTTCCAGTCACCACACACGAGCCGCCAGCTCCAGCAAACTTGCTAAAACTAATTTCTTGCAAATGTAAAAAAGGATGTAGGGGAGCCTGTGGATGCAGAAAGGCTGGACTAAGTGCTCCGTTATCTGCGCAAATAGCAATGGTGCTTGTGATAATTCCGATATTGATCTGCAAGACAGTGATGAAGAGGAAGATAACGGAGACAGTTCTTCAGCAAACCTTCGACGAAATCGAGGAAGAAGGTGATGAAGTCGAAGAAGAGAACCCTATCACGGATAACTTCGAAAAACTTCCTATCCATGAGGTTTTGCTCAGTTCTGAAGATGAAGAACTCGCAAAACCTGGTCCATCAGGGTTAGCGAAGGGAAGGAGAATGCACTTAGTCAACAGTGCATCCCATGTGGATTAGACCTACTGGGGATACCACTAAAAAAAATGCGCCAGGAACTCTACCTCATGGTGGTGTAGAAATGAGTTTGTTGGCCAATACGCGTGTTGGAGTAGACTTTGCGACGCTCGTTTTCACAGTAAAGTGAGTCGGAAAGGAAATATCGTCGAAAAACCGTTCAGGAGCGCCATTTTTCCAATATGGCGGCTACTTCTGGAAAAGAAAAGAGGTGGCAAAGTAAAAATTCGGAGAGAGCACGTCAAAATCTATAAATATACCAATTTTCAAAACTCCCCTAAAACTTCACAGGTAAAACTTCCAGACGATTGGACTAAAGGTACAATTATTTAATGGAAAAAAAATTGATTTATAAATTAATTTCAACTTTCGTCGTCAAAAATGACATTTGTTTGTTGAGGAATAAAAAATATTAACACTGCACCACTAATACCCCTACATTGTACTGTTTCTGACTTATTAATTCATTCATTATCATCATTTATTTCATATCACCATGGTTTGGTATCGTGTGCAGGCTAAAGTTAACAGAAATACATCATATGTTAACCGAAACAGATTGTATCAGTTTGCATTTCACTTAGGGCAGCAGTGGCTATGCAATGCAGGAGTTCCCAACAAAAAACGGGTAAGTAATTTTTCCCTGTTTTGTACCACGCGGTTTTACTTTTTTTTGCATAAAAGTGCTTTCAGTTTCATGTTTACCTAATTAAAATCGCTCGCTTTTGAAGATATTAATTTTTTTTTCATCTTTGTGAATAATACTAAAGCTTATAACTTTGTATTTAAATAGTTGGACAATTTTAATAACTGAGAGCTCTAGAATAAATCTTTTTTTGTTTCGTAGAAGAAGCGACGAAACAGACCAAAGTTTCACAGAAAGAAGATCCATGTTGCTTCTCGACGAAGAGCCAGAGAGCAACAGCTACTTCTCCAGCAACAGCTCGAGCTCGGATAACGTAATTCAGCCCGTCGCGTTAAATAAGTTGCCCCTAGGGAACTTGCTGTCTGAAAATGAAATACAAGTAGGTCCTTAGATTCGTTTAAGATTTTTTTAAAACAATGAGCAAAAAATTGGGTGGTAATTTCATGATGTAAAAAAGTGGTAGATGTTCTTGTGACAATATTTTTAAAACTTCGAATTAACGGGGTTACTTTACTTCATAGTAATTGTTTTTGATTTAATCAGCCCTATTCTGTAACTTGCATCGAAATGCTCAGATCGAGTCGAAATGTTCGCAATTCGTAAAGTTCAATATCTATCGTGTCGATCGTTTCCTAAAATTGGTATTCTGTAACTCAAATCGTAGAAGTTACAAATTGTAGAGAAAGATCTCGATTCGATGCCGGTTTAGCGTAATGGCAACAATGCATTGCTCTGCGATTATAGACTAATAACCAAGTGACATTTAGAGAGGTTAGAAATTTCAAAATATGAAATATGCAAAAGCTAAGATAAATGTGCTTTTACAAGATTTAGCGCAGGTATAAAAAGTGTAATTTACGCACAATTGACTTGCAGATGTGTTTTAATAGGAAATCCCATGTTCCGTAAATTTAATTGTACCTACCTACTAGATTATATGTTTATTTTAAAAATACATTCATTTTGTTGTAATCTTTCGAGAAGGTCAGTACTGAAAAATATTAATGATGTCATTCCGACTCCAATAAGGACAAAAACTTATACAGATCAGCTGAACTACATGGTAGATTTCATTACGCTGCACAAAATTTTACTTCATGGTAAAACTAAGCCCTTTGGTAGAGAATATTATAAACCATGCACAAATTAGATAACTAAATAAAAAATATACCTATACACGTACGTATAGACGTACAAATATTTTATAATTCTGTGATTTAAAACACGAAAAGGAAAAAAGATTTGTTGTGTTGTGAGGTTATGCTTAATTTAAACTGACACATCTAACACAACAACGCATGCGTGACCTGATCTCGATATCTAAAACTACCACTTCGACAAAGTTTGACCGATCGATATCGATTTCTACTAACAACTTCGATAGTAGACGTCGAAACAAGTTATAGAATGACGATGTTGCCCAATTTCGATTTGATGGGTTGATCTCGATTCAATTTTATACATTTCTATTCGATTAGGAGTTACAGAATAGGTCTGAATATTTCACATAGTTTTTTTTAGTATATGATATTTCACAAATTTGGTATACAGGGTGTAACTTTGAATGGTGGTCATATTTATATGGTGTCTACCTCTGTCCTTTAAAAGCATATAAATTTGTTTTCTTAAATTCCATCATGGAACTTATTTTTTAAAACTTTTTCTTATTTTCATACCTGGCTGCTGATCAGCTTAGTGTAATCTCAAAAACAGTGCACACTAGACGTCAGTGCATACCCTTTTGACGTATGCTCGTCAAATATCTTTTTTTTACTCCTATACATATTTTTTCATGTCACATAAATTTAATAATGAAGACACACAAACACACCGTATCGTTAAAAAGTAAAATAACTAACTTGTATAAGTTTGTATATACTCGTAAATAAGTATAAAATTAAAAAAGAAAACTTTGTATTAAAGATTATTCAAGAATCTTATTAAAAATTCTCGTGTTCCAAGTTGATGCTTTGGTCATTTTCAAAAAAAATATGAGCGTTGAATGTTTCGGAACCAAATGTTTTGTTCAATTGCCAATAAATTATTATTTTAAATTTCACAATTTTTTATAAATGAATCAATGCAATTCAACATGATTTGACATATTTGTATACTTACAATTGTGTAGAACTGGGTTTTCTCTTACATTCAAGTCCTTTGTTTATATTGCGAAATAGATAAAATTTAAGTTTTTAATAGTTGTGCCACAACGTTAAATGTATTTTTTCTCCAAAACGGTCAATGTTACCGTCTTAAAACAAGAAGACATTTTGTAAGATTTTTAATACTCCTTAATATTAAACTGATAAATTTTTTGAAAAAACTGCATATAATAAGAGCTGTGACCAAACGTACCAAATTTGGATTATGAATAAAATAAAAATAACTCAAATTTTGTAACTGTTTCCAAAAAAAGGTTTTGTACCATTATCTACAGTGTGTGCCGTTTTTCAGGTTGACACCTCTGGAAATGTTAGAAGGCTGTGGACTTTCCACTAGCCAATTTTTTTACAAATAGTGCCCTGAAGGGAGGTTATATTCTACTAATCATATTATTCTGGCCTACTACGATTTTTTAAAAGGGTCGTTTTTCCAGAAAGTAGTACACCCATCAAAATACCCATATATCAAATTTGAACGACAAATGTCTATGGCAAGGGTCGGCAACTGGCGGACCGCGGTCCAGGTCCGGACNAAACGTTAATCTAAATTAAGTTTCAGTTTTCTCCACCAAACCTCCTTCCAATCGAACATATTTTTCCAATCCTCTTCTCAAATTTAAAAATAATTTACATAGCTGTTGTGGAGTAATCACTGCACAAGCTTGTCTTATGTAATTCATTAGGTCATCCAAATTCCTTGATCTGTTTTTATAAACTTTTTGTTTTATAAAACCCCAAAAGTAAAAGTCCATAGTTTGAGAAAACTAAAATTTAATTTAGATTCCAATTTTTTGTTTAACAACTTAATATTTATAATTCATTATCTACATTTTTTGTACGTTAATTATTATTTTTATTGTGGCCGCAATTAAAAGTGTTAAATTTATAGTGTTTGTATTTTTTCTTTGTCCGATTGGTACTTGTTTTCACTTTCATGGCACCTGCTTATTATTATTTTTAGTTCTGCTCTTTCGAAGTTTGGCACCACATAAAAAAACACTCAATACACATTTGTCGTTCAAATTTGGTGTATGGATATTTTGATGGGTGTTGAATAGCCTGGTAATATTATCTTTTTGATAAAAAATGCCTGATACCACTTTCTGGAAAAATGACCATTTTAAAAAATCGTAGTAGGCCAGGCTTTCGTGACATCAATAAAATGATTAGTAGAATATAAACTCATTTCAGGGTATTATTTGTAAAAAAATTGGCTTGCGGAAAGTCGACAGCCTTCTCATATTTGCAGAGGTGTTAACCTGAAATATGGGACACATTGTATATGGTAGATTTTTCCTCTAAATGTTCTCATAGTTTTTATTTTATCATGTGTTTTCTTTCTAAATCACAATAAGATTTGGAAAGCACAATTTAAAGTTAAATAATTCATTGCAATGGAATCCGGTGACGGTAAATGTTTTTTTAAATCAACCCTAAAATAATCTTATTTTTCAGCTTTGCACCAGGTTAAATATTCAACCCGTCCATTATGTTACACTGAAATCACTTATTATACAGGTAAGTTTACTTCGTAATCAGTATAGAAAAATAACAGAAAAAAAATCTGAATAAAGAATAATTGATTTTAGTACATTAATTATCTCCAAATAATATTAATTCAACAAAACTTGTTTTCATTTTCTTTCTCCTTCATTTCCATGCTTTATGTGTATATATCACATTCCAACCTGTTCATTTAAATACAAATCTCGGCTTCGAACTTCGAGGATGTTTAAAAATTGATCTCCGATGATATAATAAATGTATACTTTTTACAGTAAAAATACAAATAGTGAAAATCAGTTATAACGACCTTCAAGGGACCGTTTGTTATAACCGAAAGACGTAATTAGCAATTATATATATTTTCAAAATTTTTAATGAAAAAATAAGAAAATTACAATACAAGTCTTTAAGTAAATATGTACATGTATTGCTTTGTGTTAAGAAGATCTCGACCGCTTCATTTGCAGTGAATTGTTTTCGAATAGAGACTTTTATTTCTATCTTTCCAAATTGTTGAAATCGTAGTGTGGACACGCCACATTCTTTCTCCGTTTTCTAGTCTTCATATAATATGCGTAGATAAGTCATAATTTGCTCAAACGTAGTAACTGATGTCAAAAGCGTGGATATATAAAGCGTAAATATATATAAAAACGCGTCGCTAAATCCGAAATGTCGTAAACGGTGTCATGGTAAACAATATTTTTAATATGATATTTCTATAAGATTTAATTGGGACTTCCAAATTCTGTCGTATAACCAATTTTCACTGTATATTCTAATTTAATTTAATTTTAGATCTTTTTTTATTTTTTGCTTATTTAGGTTTTGTTTTTCTGTTTCTCTTTATCTTGTCTCTACGTTTGTTTATCTGCTTTTTTAGTCGAAATACAATTTTTATAGATGAATACAGGAATATATTCCTGCCGGGTTGCCTATCAAAATATATTTTTAATTAAAATTAAATTAATAAATTTTTTCCAAATGTCTGTGAACACGTCAAAATAAATTTTGTGTTTTGATGCTTTTTCCCGGCCAATCGGATTACGGCGAGTCGTTATTTTACCGTTATGTGCCTGTCTGATCTTTTAGAAACGGTATTATAGCGATAAATCTTAATTTGAACATTTTAAATTTTCTGTTTACATATGCATAGACCCAACCGGTAAGCCACCGTAGCTCAATTTGAAAGCGGGACAGACTTTTTTTTTTGAAAAATGTTACATTTACGAACCTTTTTTAGTTGTTTGTATATCTTTCTGTGAAATGGATTATAATTTATCTTAAAAACAAGTTAACGAAATTGTTTGGAATGAATTAATTAATTTAATTTTAATTAAAAATACTTGTGGCCATATTTTAATGGGCAACTCGGCAGAAACATATTCCTCTATTCATAATTATCTATAAAAATTGTATTTCGATCAAAAAACAGATGAACGTAGTAATCTCGCAGTCGGATCTCGTAGGTCGTTGTCCCGCTGGATACAGTATTTCTAAAATACAGTTTAAAACAAAAGAATTAGTACATTTACTTTTCCTTTTTTTTTAAGGAAAATCTGGCAAATACGGACAAACACCAAGGCTCCTCCTCCAACTCTACCTCTCAGGATTCGACGATTAGGGAGGCGGTTACTCAGTACCTCAGTTACAGCGGGTGGTTACCCGGTGTTTCCGTTGTTTGATACACAAACTTTAGTTTATTCTAGTTCAATTTAATTTATTCATAAGAGCAATGATATTTAGTGACAGAGGGAGGGTGTTGTATGGAAATATTCGATCTATTTATCCTTTATGGAATTGGAGTATTTTGGGGGAGAAACCATTTTTTTTTTCTAATGATATTACAGTTTACCTATCTTTATTATTTAGGTATTTAAAAAAATGATTTAATTGTTTGATATATTTATATATTTTTGTAAAAAGTTGTAAGTAATAATTTTACTTACATAAAGTATAACTTTAAAACGTTTATACTGTGACTGGTGCTGCGACACGTATTTCCGCAAGGTTGTATTTCACGAAAAAGACGCACCGTTTTGGAAAATAAACTATTTCCTATTTGTGATCTATTCTTATGATGATTTAATTTGCATTTTTCGTATTGTTAATTTAATTATAAGTACCATTGATAGAGACTGTTTGTACATATTAAGGTTTAATATTATAAGTTTACAAATATAAAATTTGAGATTTATCGAGTTAAAAGGTTTTTTTTTAATTTTTACCTTATCGTTTTATGTTTTCTTCACAGGTTAATCAAATATTTTTGAGAATAATAAATAAATAAAATGAGTAACGGCCAATTTCATATTAGAATGGAATTTGCAGTTTTTGTACAAAAAAGATTAATTATTAATTTCGGCATTGACTTCGAAAAAATTGATGCAAATAATTTCAATAGAAAATACAGGTTTTTAATTAAAAATTGTTTGGAGTAGCATATCGGGTAAATGGTTTCTACATCTTTACTGTTTTGCATAAATGCAGCTAAATTTTGTTGATTTAGCGTTCAATTTCTTCCTTCAAGACGTGGGTGGTCGTGGGCTTGTTGACATAAACCTTGGACTTTAAAAAAACCCAAAAGAAAAAGTCCAATGGCATTAAATCATATGATCTAAGCGGCTAATTGTGATCACCAAAATAGGAAATTCCATGATCAGGAAATGACTTGTGCAGTAATTAATTGAATTATTTCTCGGACTGTATGGCATGTAGCATCGTCTTGTCGAAACCACATGTCGTTTACATCCATGTCTTGCAATTTAGGCACAAAAAATTGGATTATCATGTCGCAATAGTGAGCTCCACAGAAGAAACTACTGTTGTACCAAGCTGAACAAGTATAAACAATGCAATGAGAGCATTAATTGTTATTGCTTGACCAGCCACATTTTTGAAGGAGAATGGTCCAATGATGCCTTCAGCCAAAAACAACAAATAGTGACACATTCTAAATGCGTTTGTTTCTCAGCAATCACTCGAGGATTTTCTGATCCCCAAATCTTTCGTGAGCATACGCAGTAGAGATTCTCGAAAAAGGAGGAATCAGATTTTGGAGTTCCATCGTTAGAAATGAGAATTACCGAAACCTAGAAAGTTATTTCAGGATGAATTTATACAGAGTGATACCTAAGTTGAGTAATATTTTTAAAGTGTAGAACTACTCATAAATAATTTTTTCCAAATTGATTTTTTTTAATAACTACAAAATAATGCAGCTTCAGTCTTCCATAATCGTAAAAAAAATTCAAGCCAGGCCCTGCATAGAATTTAAGCAAGTAAGTCGGTCGCCTGCATATTAAAAACAATCGGGACAGAAATCTAATGGTTAACGGTCTTTTTTGTGTTTGTACCGAATTTTTTCGCATTGTATATTTATGGAATGTCGTCATGGTGTTAATGCTTTATTCAGGCTATACCTGGAGCGTTTTTCCTTAAGCCTTTTCCCCTTCTCTGCAATGTTTGGTCTGTGCAAAGGGGGTAGCACCAGTGATTTGTGTTTGAGGCAAGACCTAGGGTATGGGAAAATGTGTGCAATGGGAGGAAAAAATTTTAATCTTGTTCATGAAGATCCAAGAACAAGAAACTACACGTCAAGTTGAACCGATATATAAGAAAAAAAAGAGTTACACGTTATAAAAAAAATTTGTCAACTTGGGAATCACCTTGTATATTAATACTTTTGCTGTAATTTTACAGGTTAATATAAAATGAAATTTCATAAATATTCCTCAGAATTTTTTTATAAAATATCAAAATACATAACATTAAGTAATTAAAACAGTTTTCTTTTATGAAATGATTTTCTTTTTAATTTCTTTATATATTTGTGCTCTTCCCTGCTTCTCTTAAGGCTTCATATGCTTCATCCAATATCCTTTTTTTCCAAACTTCATAATCCTCCACCTCTTCATCCTCGTTCTCTTTCTTATTCAGTAATACTTTATTTTCTATAAGTTAAAATGCTATTCATTTATTGTTAAATACCAGAAATAATAAATACCTATTTCGTTCGCCATTTCGTTAACTACCTTATTTATATCACCATCTTTCTTGTGCTTCTTTGGTGAACCAATTCCATACGTGCTAACGAATTTGTCAAACTTGTTACTTAATTCTTTCCATTGTGCTGGCTTTAAGTGACTTGCAACTATCAACTGTGTTTTCTGAATTTTTATATTCTTAAGCCTAAAATTGTACCAGAAACGGTAAAAAAAATGATATATCTATATCAACTAAAAATATAAAAACTTACTTGCATGCTGCATTGACAGCTGCTGCCACGTATTGGGGATGACTTATGTGTATCATCTTGCTGTAATCTTTGTATTTTGATAAAATTTCTTCAGCAAGATCTTTTATAACTGTACAACTTAACTGAACGCATAGCTCTGATACTGTTATTTGCTTGTCGAGTTCCAATATCTTTTCTACGGTATGTAAGTTGTTTTGGTAACCAGATTTCTTCAAGCCAGATAGTCTAATTGCTGTTTCCTAAAAATAAGACGATCATACTTATGTTCAAGACAGTACATTACAAGGTACTTTATCAAAACCTGTTCCAGAATAAGATGTGGCCAAATCTAAACACAAAACAGTTTTTGCCTGATCATTTAAAGACTTTATTGATCCCTTACTATGATATGCTCTAATGAACTCCTTTGCTTTTCTGTAAAATATAAATTTGTTGTTATCCAATATAAAACAATCTAATACTTAATTTTACTTTAAAGTTATTTCATCTTGTATCCCCAATCTTTCAGCGACATTTGTTAATGTGTTGGGTTCAGTAGACATTACGTTTTTCAAAATATTGAGTAGTGAAATAAATATCAAAGCAACACTAAAAAATGAATACCAATTAATAATTAATACATTTGCTGAAACAGAAATGTGAGGTTATAAATTTTCAGTTTATTTCGCGGGTAACATTTGAATTTAATATCGAAAATCGAATTGAATCCACATTGAATCGCAATCACATTGAACCTTCGAGCATATACCTACTAGAGGCAGCCTCAATGCTAAATGAGCGAACAGACGTGCGAGAGAGAAAGCAAATAAAAGTATTAGCTATCTCTCTCGCTCCGTAATGTGAGGTGCTGGAGGCGAATCACGGGGTCTGATTCTCAACCACTAAAATTTACGGAGTGAGAGAGAGAGAGAGAGTGAGAGATGCCAAATTGGATAATTTTTATTGCATTTTCACAATAAATTCACCGCCATTTATTTGAACATCACTAAACAAAAGTGGAATACAGAAATTTGAAGTGGTGCCATCTGTTATCTAAAAACCTAAAGTTGGCTTTATTGTTGTGCCATCTAACTTCAAGGGGATGTAATTTTATAAAAACAAAATAGATCCTTACATATAAACTTATAATGTTTTTAGCAATATAACATAGATGGCGCGTTAGAAAACTATAATTTAAATATCTAAATATTGATGGTTTACATTTAGATAATCCAATAAAAATGGTTCTCGCAGCATACAAAAAGAAATTGAAAATTTATTTCTTTGTCCAATTTAAAAACAAATTGATGTCATATTTTTTCTAAAACAAAATAAAAAAGGAATAAAATATCTAAAATAATATGTTTACTCCAGTCTGTAACTATAGATATCTATTTAGATATAATTATTGCTTTATTTTCAGGATATCCGTAGGTACCAAACTCGACATTTCCTAGGTTAAACTGGGTTACCATTTATCAATTTAAGATTTCTTGAAGGGCAGTTATTTCATTTTTTTTAAACAGGTACTAGATACTTATAGATACCTGCAATTTTCTCTTGGGGTGGGCCTAGGGCTGCAAGCTCTGAATATTTGTCTATCCCGATGTTTTTAAGGCTATGTTCTTAGTTATTTATGTAGGTATATTACCTATCTGTAGGTAAAACCCATGTCACTCGCTCATAATGACGGTAGATGTAGAATTGGTGGAATTATTTATCATAAGTATCAACTTTAATGGATACAAATCGTTACAGAAAAAATTGTAACTAACTGAAAATGCAAATAACTTTAATCAGTAATCAGATTTATTTTTATTTTTATTTATATTTAATTGAAGTTTCAGCGGGTTGTTAGTATTATTCTCTTTCAGAATTTTATTTCGCACCTGTACTCTTATAAATTTAAATCACTTCTATTGCTTCTATAGTTGTCATTTTGCAAAATATAATTTTCCTTTGTAAGAATTGCCAGGGCCGTATTCAGGGATGAATAGTAGATAAGTAAGGTTAATATGTATTTTAATGATACAATTTTAATAAGACATTCCTATAATACTTGACTAGTCATCTTTTCCACTTTCTAATAGATGTATTTGCCAATTAAATATATATCTGTCTTATACTTAGAAAAATATGTATGTATATACCTACTTACCTAAATAAAAACGGGACAGACACAGATTTAACTAACATGTAAATCTACTACAGTTGAAAAAAAAAACGCCTTACGTAAGTATATTTTTTGTGAAATATGTATCCACTGTACTTTTTGAACTTATTGTTCTTTGTTGTTGTTCTTCCCACTGTCTTAGATTTAGGTGCAACTTACAATCAGCATATAGTACACCTATCTATTATAGGTAAGTGTTTTTTACTGGATAGCTTTTTTGATTTCCTAATGGTTCGAACTCCATGATTTAATAATTTTGAAAGAAATATTGGCGCCACGTGAACCCAACTAAATTTAACAAACTTCCATATAAACGATTGCCTTTACCAACTTAACAAAGCAAACCAGGGCAGAGCAGGGTCTACTTTCTTTCACGGCGTTTCCTGTCATTGGCCAGATGCTTCTACTGTCTCATTCGTCGTCAAAGATGGGGTTCGGGACCAGTAACAAAGATGCTGCAGACTCCGGTCCATATCCCCGCCCTTTCATGCCGACCAATCAGCCATGACTGTTTACGAGGGAAGAATTTGGGCGGGTGATAATAAGTTACTTTCCCGCAAACAGCGCCAAGATTTAACCAGTTCAAGTCAAATAAGATAATAATGTTTATAAATACGTTGCATTCACCTCGACAGTTCTAGAAGTCTATTTATTTATCATGCAAAGCGATGGTTCATCATTTCATCAAAAATCGATTAATTTTAATATTGTTTTAGTATTATTCCTGTTTTATTTAAGAAAAAGAATTTATCTACTACTGACCTAGGTATCTTTTTCGTTAATTAGTAAAAATTGAATGTAGCCCTTTCTAGTTTCGAGCAAACAGGACTTTTTTTTATTAAAAACTGAAAACTGATACAATATAGCTAAGACTAGTAACATCTTCCATTTGTTAAAATTTAATTTAATTTACTTAAATATTAGATAGTGGCGGTTCTTGACTTCCATACCAGGGAGGTTGGAAAAATTTAGGTATAAAGTATTGAAAAAAGTCAAATTGGTTTTACAATAAATAGCGCTGCAACTGCTGTTAGTCTGTCTTTACAGTCTTATTTAAACTTTTACAATCTTTTTAAAAACACACAAGAAACAATACGTAAGTAAGTAATAATTTTACACCACACGTAAGTACACAAATTACGTTTAATAAGAAAAAAAAGCAGTGAACACCAGCTATTATTTGGTTACGGACGATCTAAACAGAATGCAAACTGCATAGTAAATACTTATGTGTTACTCTCACTCCGTCCTTCACTGCCGCGCGACGGTAACCATGACCACCGCTGTAAACACTTTACAGATTTAAGAGCGAGCTTCAGTGTTTTTCAAACGAATTTTGCAAGTAGAGTTAAATTGACTGAACATTACAAATTTAACTTTTTAATTTTCATGTGTTTCATTAGCCTAATCTATTTAATTAAATATTAAATATTAATTAATTAATTAATTAAATATTATTAAATAATAGATAATTATCTAGGTAACATTGTAAACTAAATTTTAAATTAATTTTTTTGACTGAAAATAGTAGGATCATATTCGATGCAAAGTAATAAATCATTGCTTGTCAAGGGATCCAGTGCAATACTGTTTTAAGGGGTTTAGAAATTGAATAATTTCTTTATGCATTATGAAGGGATGAAGGGATCAGTTCACGTCTGGCAAGGGTGCTACAAAAATTCCTTTATTCTCATAAACTATTTACTTTAAATGTAATTTATTATAAATCCAATTTGTTTCCTAAATTCCACATATGTACTACATTTTACCTCTGT